ATGATGGTGATGATGATGATGGTGATGATGATGATGGTGATGATGATAATGAAGAAGATGATGACGTAAGAGATGGTGATGTTGGAAATGTTGGAAATGTCGGAAGTGGCAATGGTGATGGCGATGCTGACAACAACATTGAGTAGAACATGCAAATATGATGATATTGCACGGCTGTTTGGCAGCTCACCAAATTACGTGCAATTTCTCTCTCTCTCTCTCTTTCTCTCCCTCTCTCTTTTTTCTCTTTCCCTCTTTTTTTTCTCTCTCTCTCACTTTCCAACCAGGAACGATGGCGGTAGTACCCGTATCTCCTGACTTTTGCAGCTTTGGCTGAACACAGAGAACATCTTGTTCTCTGTGTTCATTTGAGTAATAAACTTCTCGACAGCATGCCAATGTTAGTAACATGACAACTACCAGAAAAACTGATCAAAAGATTGTGAATAATGATTATGACGTCATCAAGGACGACGTAAAAAAGAAAATGTTGGAAAAAACTACAAAAGATATAGCGTGAAAATAATATCAAAGAAAGCAAATAAATTTCTCCGTCTACGGTCCAAAGAATTTTAATTTATCACGTGATGTTATTACATAAATTTTATGAGATCTGTGTTATTAATGGCGTGAAATGTTTCAAACTACGACTCCGGTACAAAATGATCGTACATCATCTATGGTATCATGGTATTTGAGAATGCGTTTGTGTATGTGTGCGTGTGTATTTGTGTGTGTGTGAATGTGTGTGTCTGTGTATTTGTATGTGTGTCTAAATGTGTGTATGTATTTATATGTGTGTGTGTGGATGTGTGTGTGTGGATGTGGATGTGGATGTGTGTGTGTGTGTGGATGTGTGTATGTATGCATAGTTGGGTGTGTTTGTCTGACGTGCCAGCATGTAATTGTCTCTGTAGTTGTTTGTATGCCTGCCTTGTATATGTATAAACACCAACGTACCTACATTAATATGATAGCTTGTATGTGAATGCCCAAAAATGCGTTTGCGAAACAAGTGAAAGTATCTCGGAGATAAGCTAGCTCTAATGATCATAAACCTTTATATGTTATGTATAAACACGTACATTATGTGTATGTTGTTCTTGAATAAACACAACACAAACACACAAACAGGAATGTAAACACACACGAGTGCCTAATAAACATGACTTACCTGCCCATTTCCGAATCGACCTTGAGTTTCGACCAAGGTCACGACCTTTAAACTTTTGAGGTCAACCTCGAGCCATTCGTTAGAGTCACGTGAGACCGGATATCTCGGACACCAGGCTCCGCCCTGCTTTTCAGAGTTGATTCTGATGATGATGATGATTGTGGGAAGTGATGATGATGATGATGATTGTGAGTAGTGGTGATGATGATTATTGTGGGTAGTGGTGATGATGATGATTGTGGGTAGTGGTGATGATGATGATTGTGGGTAGTGGTGATGATGATGATGATTGTGAGTAGTGGTGATGATGATTATTGTGGGTAGTGGTGATGATGATGATTGTGGGTAGTGGTGATGATGATGATTGTGGGTAGTGGTGATGATGATGATGATTGTGAGTAGTGGTGATGATGATGATTGTGGGTAGTGGCGATGATTTAAAATGCTTTTGTTGTAATGATGACTATGAAAGTCAATAGACTCGAAGTATTGAGTTATACAGTAAAATGAAATCATCACATTTGAAATGTAACCAATCGGAACGTAATATTGTCCAGTAACATCACACAACAAATGTGTCCATCATAATTGTCCAGTAATATCACACAACATAATATCCTTCAGAACACAAAAATTCACTCTGAAATTTATTTTTTTGTAAAGTTCATTTGCTAAAGCTGCAAAACTCAAAATCCGAAAATAAAAAACTCTAGAAAAAATATAAAATGATTGTGTGTCATAAGCCATTTAATGTATACAAAGATACGTGGCTAAATTAAACTTGGGATACCCCATCTATTAACTAGGCCGACTATGATGGCTAATTAAAATTCACCGTTACCTCGTTTTACATTTCTAATCAGAGTAAATCTTTATAACAGTCTCTCTCAGAACCCTACCCCATTCAATCAATTTGTCAGTCAGTAAGCCAACCTCCTCTGTATCCTTCATTTAATCATTTCCTCTTTGAGAAGCAAGCGTTTAATTTTAATTAGTGCGGGCAATTTATGTTCGTGCATATTCATAGATACATCTGAATATTCTGTATTTATTCGGAACATTTTTTTGATAAAAAAAAATTTGATTTTACCCTGAATTTTTGAGATTATTTTAAAAATTTATTGAATTTCAATTAAATTATTAAAAATATTTTGACTAAGAACTTAGTTGGACTTACATTGACCAGGTTTGAATGCAAGCAGTTCCTTTTGGTTTATGTGTTTTATCTTCGATCTTAATGGTCAAAGATAAAACACATACATTTTATCTTCTTCTATAGTTCCTTCGCTGCTATAAGCAACGTGTGAAATGCGTGTGTGTGTGTGT